GCCCCTTCAGATGTGCCACAATGCAAAACTGAAATTTCTTCTTCTTTAACAACATCTCTGATGAAATGAAACTTAACCTTTATATGCTTTGTCCTGCCATGATGCATTGGATTTTTGGCAATGAATATTGCTGATTGATTATCAATCGTCAAAGGTGTTCTTGACTTCTGTTTGGACCCCAAATCTCAGAATAATTTTCTAATCGAGATAACTTGATTTACAGTTGTGGCAGCTGAAATATACTCTACTTCAACTGAGTATTGTGCAACCACCTCCTGTTTCTTAGAGTTCCAGGAGAAAATAGCACTCCCAAATGAAAAATAGTAACCTCTTGTGCTTTTAGAGTCATCTAGACTACCTACCCAGTCACTGTAACAATAACCAATCAGCTCACTGCTCTTATCATTCTCAAACTTCAAGCCATAATCCACAATCCCTTTGATGGATCTCAGAACCCTCTTTGCTACTAAATTGTGATCCTGGGAAGGTTTCTACATAAATCTGGATAACAAACTTGCAAGTTACATCAAGTTTACGCTTGATGCAGTCAAATAGTGTAAACTTCTTATGATACTTCTGTAATTCGAACATACAGCCTCAAGAGCTCCATCATCCTTACTTAGCTTGCTGTTGGAAGCAAGAGGAACTTCAATAACCTTGCAATTCTCCATCTGAAACCTCTTCAATAATTCAGCAACCTATTTACTCTAATGAATACAAATGGATTCTGCACTTTGTATAAACTACAGTCCTAAAAAATAATGCATTTCCCCTAGATCAGACATTTCAAACTCTTTCATCAGTTTAGCTTTGCAATCTATTAGGATATTATCACTGACTTTGGTTATCAAAAGATCATCTACATATAGGGAAATTATCACTCTCACTGATTTGTTTGACTTGAAGACATATAAGGTAGGTTTATGTGCACTTCTTTGAAAACCTTTTGCAAGTAAAAAGGAGTCAATACGATCATACCAAGCTCTTGTGGCCTGTTGTAGTCCATATAGAGCCTTCACAAGCTTGCAAACCTTTCCTTCAGTTTTAAGTTTGATAAATCCTTCAAGTTGCTGAATGTAAATGTCCTCAATAAGATAACCATTCAAGAAAGCAGACTTCACATCAAGATGAATTATTTTTCACCCTACTCAAGCAGCTAAAGCAATGATTAATCTTATAGTGTTCTGTCTTGCAACTCGAGCAAAAGTCTCTCAATAATCTATGCCATATATCTGAGAGTAACCCTTTACAACCAACCTAGCTTTAAACTTGTGAACTGACCCATAAGCATTTAGTTTAGTCTTATATATCCACTTGACTCCAATAATGTGTTGGTCTATTGGTTTATCAACTAGTATCCAAGTCCCATTTTTGTTTATCATTTGCATTTCTTGCTCCATTGCCTGCACCCATCTGACATCTTTAACAGCTTCACAACAACAAGAAGGTTATGTGATAGCCATATTACACCTTGCATATAGATATCTTGCAAGGATCTAGTGCCTCTAACAGCAAGGTTTTCATCTTCAATATCTGTTTCAACCTGTTCATCATCAAAACTTTGCTTTTGTTGTGCAGTGTGTTCAATTCCTGATTTTCCCAATTCCACTTTGAATACTCATCAAACTTGGTATCTCTACTAACCAATATCTTCTTCGTTTCCACACTATACAGCTTATTCCTTTTTGTAACTTCACTATAGCCAACATGAACTGTTACAGTGCTCTTCTCATCAAGCTTTGACCTTCTTTTATCTAAGATCTTAACAAAATAAATGATGCCAAAAACCTTCAAATGTGCTACTGATGGCTTAAATCCAAACCAACATTCAAATGGAGTTTTACTTGCAACTGGCCTGGTCTTTGTTCTATTCAGTAAATAATTTGCTGTATTAACAGTTTCTGCCCAAAAAAACTTGGGAAGATCCTTTTGAAACATTAGACATCTTGCCATCTCCATAAGTGTTCTATTCTTTCTCTCTAACACTTCATTTTACTGAGGGCTATAGGTAGCTATGAGCTGATGAGTAATACCAAGTTAAGATAGCAGTTTTTCAAATTCAACAACTGTCAATTCCTTGTCATTGTCACTCTTGAGTGTTTTGATTGTTATGCTTGCTTGATTCTCAACCAAACTTCTAAACTTGACAAAATTCATTAATGCATCTGACTTAACCTTTAGAAAATAAATCCAACAGTATCTAGTAATGTCATCAATGAATAAGAGAGAACACTTACTTTCACTAAGTGAGAGTGTTTTCATCAGTCCTCCCAAATCAGTATGAATTAATTGTAGCTTTTCAGTAACCTTCCATTTCTTATTCTTTGGAAATAAAGTTCTGCTTTGCTTCCCAAACTGGCAAGTGCCACAAACATACTCAGGCCTGGTGATCCTAGGCAATCCTTCAACCATCTCTTGAATAGCCATTTCCTGTAAAGACTTATAATACACATGCCCTGACCTTTTATGCCACAGTTCTGAGTCATCAACAGCACTAATAAAGGCTTTTTGCTCAATCTTCTTCCAATCAATTGAATAGCATTTGTTTCTCATTTCCACAATAAACAGCTTATCACCCCTGGGGTCAAACACTGTACAAAATTTATCCTTGAAAAGAAGAGCATAGTGACATTCAGTAAGCTGCCCAATACTGAGCAGATTTTGGTTAGCCTCATGAACATAAAAGACATTAGAAATACACTTATTACTTAACAAAGTTTCAACCATAACAATCCCTATACCAAGTACTTTCGAAAAGGTTCCATTACCAACCTCTACTTTGGACCTATAACTCCTATCCAAGGTAGAAAACTGACTTTCAACACCAGTTAGGTGATTTGAGTAGGCGCTGTCAATCAACCACAAGTTTTTCTTGACCAAATATCTAACTTCTCTAACCATGAATAACACCTCCTCAATTTCTTCAACTTGCTTAGCTACTACAGCGTTTTCATTAGCCTTAGAACCTTTGTTTTTACAGACTCTTTCAACATGACCAAGTTGGTTACAAGCCCTACATTTTACATTGGGTCTGTACCAACAAAATTTTACAGAATGTGTAGCTTTCTTGCAATGAGGATAAGGTTGATATTTTTGCTTTTGCTTTCCAAATTTTCTATCAGCTACTTTCTTATCCTTGTCCTTCCTATCAGCTTCATTCTTCCTTGTACTACTACTGCTCACTTTAAGATTCCTAGTTTGACCTACCAAGGCACTATCAACCACACTTTTTGGCTTGAATGCTCTTTGTTTGTTCAAGGTCGTCCAGAGCATTTACCAGTTCTTTCAAAGTTAACTGAAAAATGCCTTTGGAATCTTCTAAAGAAAAGACCTTTGATTCATACCTTTCTGAAAGGCTCACCAACATTTTATGCACCAACCTTTCCTTTGTCACAGTCTTCCCTAACAGTCTCAATTGATTCACTAAACTCATCATTTTCCCAGAAAACTCCCTAATAGTTTCATCATATTTCATCCTTAACATCCTAAATTGTCTAGACAAACTTAAAGATTGAATCTGCCTAGTCCTATCATTTCCAAAAACTCATCTTTCAAGTGATCCCACACCTCCTTAGGACTATCTAGATGCATAATCTAAGAGAAAACCTCATCAGATACAGCTGATTGTAAGCAGGATAGAGCTTTGTACCTTTTTGCTTTGTCCTCTTCAAACTGTCGAATTTGAGCAAGCGTGGGGTTGGCATGCCGTTGAACAGGGTCTTCTCTAGTCTCCACTACTTCCTATAAGACAAAAAGCTTTGAGACAGGACCTCAGTTTTACTGACTAGATGGCATAGTTTTCACCAATAAAAACTGGTGGATCTAAGGTATTGAATCCGGTTGTGGCCATGAATGAAAAAACCAATTATAAGGAAGATCAAGTAGCAAGATGAAGACGAAAGAAGAAGAAAAATAACCCTTGAGACTCTGTCGATCGGCTTTGATACCATGTTGAGGAACAAAGAATTCTAGAAATCTGATGAACACAAGAACAGAGAAAATAGTAATTTAAATAGAAATTTGTTGAGTACAGAAAACAGTGCACAGCAGCAGCTCATCTTTCATTGAAAACAAAATGGTATTTATAGGTGGTTACATGAGAGAGAAATAAAAGGACTCAACATACCAGGTATGAACACCAGGCTATACAAAACAGCGGAGAGAATATAAGGCACAAGGATCTGTGCTTAGATTCTCAAAACAACTCACACAGCCTAATGGCTATAACAAGTAAAACAACACAGCGTTTAAAAAAAATATATTACTGAGAAACAAAGTAAAAAGGTAACTGGTAAAACATATAAACATAAAACGACTAGCTCAAAGGCTTAACACGACACAAACTACTCTTCCATCTACAACTATGAATTTTCGTGCAACCTTCAGCCTTTGAATCAGCTTGGCAGCAAGATGAAGCCATGCTTCAACATACTCATAATTCTTTTGCTAAAAAAAGAAGCATGGATTAATCTTCGAAAAAAAAAAGCATGAATTTTACTTATTAGCGTACAGTACAAATGAATTATTCCTCTTCTAGTGGAAAGTTTACTTCAACTCATATTTGGTTATGTCTTAAGACAAAGTAATGGGTGAGCATAACAAAATTAAGACAGTAAAATAAATGTATGAATTAAGGCATTCAAAGTATACATAGTTGGCATATTTGCCAACATTAAGTTTGTTTTATCTGATCTAGGGGATGAATAACAAAGTGGATCATGTGAAGAAGAGAATAATAATTACAAGGATCAAGGGAAGACGATTTGTGCATAGCCGGCAGTTCAGGCTGTTCGGGCCAAACTACTGGCCGTATGTATATCAGCAACCAATGAGAATGAATTCAAACGAGATACTTTGCTGATATTAAATCAAGTATTGAAAGGTTTAGTGTTGACCCAAAATTAGAAAACTGGCTTCTACAGTTCCAATTAAACCAGCACTTAAACCACCAACAGATATTCAACCAAAAGAAGAGAAATATCTGCTCTAGGTAGGAGGAAATGGGCAGCAATTTTGCTAAGGGTTTTATCACTCTTTTATTACTATTACCATCAATATCTTGCACTGAGGTAAGAAGTAAGGACGATGGAGAAGAGACAGCCACTAAGAAAATATATATGATGCTTTCTCTTGCCTCAACTACTGATACACCCCCAATGCAACTGTCCTTCTACGAGTTTTACAGGAATATTACTTTAGCGGAAATGGATGGTAATACTTTTCCTTCTTTGG